GTGAATGTGTCGAAAGTGAGGGAACGATGAACAGAAGGAGACAGATAATGTGGCTGTCCGCCACAATATGATACTCACTATTTTATAGTATAATATTTATTTTATCCATTTTATTTTTATTATATTTACGTACCGTTTTGAATAGGGCCTTCATATGCATTGCCTACTAGCCTAAATATACTGAACGATATACTGAACTATGTTTAGGAAAATGATGGAAATAATTCCCAGCTAAATAATTTGGAGGTTTGTGCCAGTAATGTACGAAACGCTTAGACGCTGGAGAGTACCGGATGCAAGCCCTGAAAGCCTGCATTATTTGCAAGGAATTCAGAAGACGCCCTTAGAAACAGACATGGAAGGATTTATGCTGACATCATACACGAAAAGAAAATCGAACACCAAAACGGGCTGATCCTTGGGATTTTTAGTATCCCAACTATCCTCCAAGAAGTCATCGGTGTAGACTTGCAGGTATTGTAACACATGGTCACTTCACTTCTGAAATGGCTGGATGACATACGAAGGTCGAAAGGCATGTGAATAAATTCAAAATGCTCAGCGGAGAAATGTCCGTTGGGGCCCACAAATATCTGGAGGGAATCTGCACTCCAGGTCAGTGTTTGGGAAATTTGCCTTGATGAAAATGTTTCCGATTATATCCTGAAGAGAAGCATTGTATAACGAACAGGAGAAGTGGCGCGGTTGAGTGCATGTTAGTCGTCACAATCTCCCTATTCACCCACTGGCTCTCAGATGGTGTTGTGATAATAAGTTACAGTATGTCATCAAACTCAACCTCTTTCCTTTGTTGGCGGATTGACGCCGGTAATTTCGGCCAAGCTAATACAGGAGGGGCGGTTGTGCGATTTTCCGCTATTGGAGAGAAGCCCCCTATCGGGGCAAGTCATATATGTATAAAGAGCAGCTGAGTTTCTGAAGATCGTGTAGTAAGTCAACTTACCAAATAGATACGTCAGCCATATGATCTTGCGGTCGGCCACGCCGGCAGTCCACAAAAAGATCAAAATTGGGTAGAAGGTCCGGATTAAAGATTGCATGGGGACATCAGCAAGCACGGCGATCCGGGAGAATTACTAACAAAAGTTAATTTGTAGTGTGAAGGATAGACTCTCAAACTGAACGAATACTTAGCAAAGTAATGTATTACTGGCAATCGTTAGGACTGCAGGATACGCGTATTTCTAGCTTATTAGCTTTCGTCAGCTGCACCTATGTACTAACTTAGCAAACTGGTAATACAGACCAGCGTTTTGGCATTCTTTGTTAACTGTAGTGGGAGAGACTAAGTTTGCCTGGGCTGGGGTGTCCACAATAAAATCATATGAAACTTTCCACAAAATTTCAGCTTTTTATGCAGTATTTATGCGATTGAAGGCTTAGGGACGGAGCCCTTCGGTTCTTTATTAGTGCACAGCCGGGTCTGCATATTTACTGAGTCTATGGATGCATTAGTTAGCCGTATTTTTGCCCTCTTCATGTTTCATAAGTCTGAGTAGCTATCAGCATTCATTTTTGCTACCTTTCGAGCATAAACTTTTCCACACTTTGTGTGCTACCGCTATGGACTTTGTATCTTTTACTTGTCCTTCTCTTAACCACCTTACTTTTCGAGCGCAACAATGATAAATGTGTCTATGCCTTTTCTCACCAAAGAACAAAAGGAGGTTCACCAACCCGTTATTTTCGGATAAGTCACAATATGGTTGTCTTTGATTGATTGAATATCCTTCTTAGAAATCTAAGAGTTTATGTCGCCGAATGACGAATGTTTGAATAGGCCGCGCTTTCGTTTATCAGGATGGTAGACAGTTATGACTATCTTCTAAAATTCCTGATAATCGGTAATGCGGGCACCGGCAAGACTTGCATTCTGAGACGTTTTCTTGACGACGTCTTCAAAGAAGACACCCTTCACACGATTGGAGTGGAGTTTGGTACAAAAATAATCCAAATAGGTGGAAAGTCGCTGAAACTTCAGATATGGGACACAGCTGGACAG